GCTCTGGCGGACAGGGGGGCAGCTTCTGGCATCTTCTGACAGAAGCCACCCCTGCAGCCCCCCTCCCCCGCTACCAAAACCTTGCCATGTAAACCAAATACAACTTACGCTTTCTGACTTGATACATGTCTCTGACTAAGAGTACCAATTACAAAAAAGTCCTTAGTTGTGGAATATAAAAGCAGAGTAGATGTCTTCATGATTTCTTTAAGTCTTTTCAAAGAATGGATTTATTTGGGGTTTTTCCTTACGGTTCTGTTTGACAGTTAAGTCAATTTAAACCTGGAGTGTTGCCAAATTCCGTGGTCCCGTTAGCATCTTCCTTTGCGCTGCTGCCATTAGGGATCATTGTGTTAGAAGGTGATCCAGCTGGAAAAAACAAGTACGCTGCTCATTGTTCCTCTGAGCAGTTTTCATCTGTGTGTTTCCTGATCCAAGCTGCTGTACGGCCCCAGGGTTGGAGGTGCTGGGGCAGGAGTATCTGGAGGGTGAGACAGTCCATCCTCATCCCACTGAGTACTTAAGTTGGCTTAGAGCAACTGTCAAACCACAGCTGCAATGTCACTAAAGAAAGCAGTTTGTTAGGGTTCATGTAGTCATAAATATCATAGACTTCTGTAGCTGGATAGTGGCCTTTGTGTCTGAAAACTCTGCCATGAAAAATAGGAAATGCATTTGTGATTGCATAGTGCCAAAAGAGTCCAGAAGTTTATTTGATACATATTGGGGCTGTGTAACTTTGATTACACTTGTTTGCCTGTTTCTTATGATCCAGGACTTCAAGATGACAGGAAGAGAGTTTCTTGAACTAGATTCTCCGCAGCGAAGACTATATTTGGAAAGATTTAAGCGGGTGGAAGTCATACAAAAGATACTCAATGAGCTTCCTAAAGCAGATCAGTAAGTGCTGGTAAAATAAATGAAGATAAGTGCATCAAACATTTCAAGTCTTTTGGAGGCTTTTCTTTTCCCTTACTCTTCTATTGCAAATCTTCCTTGCAGTTGCAAAAATATTTAATTGTAAAGATGCTTATTATTGTCCAGAACAGAAAACTTGTTTTGTGTTTTTTAAATATGGTTAGTTCACTCTTATCTCTGGTCCTGCCTAGCCGGTTTCTGGCATATGCTCCCCGATGCTTCAGGTTCTGGGGTGGCTGATCAGCCCCGACTGGCTCTGAGCATTCATACAGTCCTGTGCTAGAGCTAATCAATTTTCTAGGAAACTGAAATGTTGGAGAGCATAAGGCAGAGACTCTTGTGATTCTGCAGGAGTCATCTTGTGTCCCGCAGGGCTGGCCTGGGGCCAGAACTGAGTGAGCATCAACCTGCTAGTTCCTGCATTTCATTCTGCCCTGCTCCCCGTTTCAGGAAGGTGAGACTGAGGTATCCAGGTGGTGGTGGTGGACGAGTCAGCCAGAGTCGTGCTGGCTCACCAGCAGGGTTCTGTGCAGCACAAAACCAGCTAAATGCCTTCTGGGCCTCACAAACAACCTTTTTGTGTTTTGTGATATTGCGTTTCACTGCAAAACCTTACTGAACCTGAGCTGGTTCTGTAATAAGGAGCTGTTTGCACGTGTGTATCATCTTGGATAAATTCTGTATACGTAAGAGTAATGGGAAGCTTTTTTTTTTTTTTAATTTAATAGAACTAAATTGCTGGCTAAACAAACTGCCGGTAGTAACACAGGACCTCCCCACACAGGTGAGAAGGAACAACACCAAGGCTTTATCCCTCCCATTACAGTTAGTGGTGCAGCTTTGTGTAGGATCTGCTGCCCTCCCTCACATTCAATTTACGCCACTTCTCCTTCCCCAGAAGAGCTGGGGAGCTAAGGGGGAGGCAGATACCTCAGTGGTGATGTGGTAACGTCTTGATAGAAGCTGTGGTACTTAGGGACTGCTGGGCCTTGGAAAGAAATAGCTGCGGGGGCGTGTGCAGGACCTGAAGTTTGTATATCCAGAGGGGAGGTCACTAATGGCTGGAAGGGAAGAGGAAGCATGCTGCTGTCAGGCTGAGAGAGTTCCTGTTCACCAAAGCTCGTTTTTAACACTAGGGAGCTAGTATTTAAAACAAACAAACAAAAATACCAAACCCCAACCCTTCCATCCTCCCTGTCTTTCCTTTTGTGCAGTGTAGCAGTTCTGTACGTCAGTAAGCCTGAGTAGATTCTGCTGGTCCTAGGTACATTAATTTGCTCGGTTTTGGATTCTTAAATACGCTGCTAAATTTTAATCTCGGTCCTCCACATTTATGTATCTGCACGCATGCATTTCACTGCCTGCGACTGTAAACGTACCAACAAAATGAAATGGCTGGTTTGCAGAAACTGCGCTCTGGGGACATTCTGTGAATGGCATCCGGTATTGGGAGAACGGTGATTTGAAAAGCAAATTTCTTTTTAAAACAAAACACAAAAAAAGAAACATAGCTCCTAAATAAGGGCAAGAGGGATATCTGACCGGTAAAGTTCTTTTGCTATATAGCATCAGGATTGAATTGTTAGTAGCTTATTTTCATGTTTGAAAATCTGGTATGTACCAAGCA